CAGGCTCAGCCCTGCTTAGCTTCAATGGGTAACCAGTCTTGGGCTACAGGGTGATATGGTTGCCGATGTTTGATTTACCCCCCTCTCTTATTACCTTGCGATTCTTAATCAAAATGTCATAATTGGATCTTCTGTTGAAACAACAGACTTCTTTCTGGTGACAAACTTCTCCAATTAAAATCTGGCTCCATCCAATCAGCAACCGATGGATTGAAAGAAGTCCCTGCCCTACAATATTTAATTTTTCGATAATGTGTTTCATTTGAATGTACGTCACAATATGGATAAAAACTACTGTCGCTGCTACTTTCATTGCATTACGATTTTAAAATTCATTACTGTTTTAATTTTAGGTTCATACATTTGGTGCTAAGGAAGCTTTGATCTCATATTATTTGATGGTACCTTTCTTCAGTTGACAAAATTACACACTTCACCTTCATATATTATACCATATATATCATATATTCACCTTCTACATTGGTTTAAAAGTCATCAGGATTCATTACTTCCTGTGCTGAGTTAAACTTGGCATTTAGCGTGGGTTTAACTGTGGCATTAACTGACATTTTACATAATCCTCTTCAGATGTTTTTCTCCATTAGGCTTATTGCCTAATGTATAATCTTCTGTGTGTGTGTGAAACAGGAGATCCCGCGGTCAAACCTGAGCAGGTTAGCCTGACCGATGGGGACAAAGTTCAGGCCAGGGCTGGCACCAAACCACGGGGCCCTGCCTCCTCCACGAACAAAGCCTCAGCCTTTCACACCGAGAAGCAGGATAAGTTGTCCGAGCCTTTGAACAAGCCCAATGTGGTAGCACCCCTTACGCAGACAGTCATGAGGGAAAAATCCACGGAAGCGACCCTGATAGAGGGTGTCCTTGACATCCCAACCATTTGCAAGGAAAAAGCGCGGTATCACACCGTCAATGGCTATCGGGAACAAGTGCAGTATCCTGCGGAGAATGAAGGTACGTGTGACCAGTTGGTCGACAAAAACAAGGACTATCACATTTCAGAAGGAAATGCAACAGAGGAGATCCACCTCACACCAGTCAACGGTGAACAAGAGCGACCATTTCTGTCCCAGAGCAGCGACAGCAACCGCATGTCCATTAGTTCGGACACAGAGCTTCCTCTGCTTCACTACTACCCATCAGCAGGGTGTCCGAACCCCTCTATTAGTGAGGAGGATGAGGTATACCCACCCACGCCCCCATGCCGGACTGTCAGCCTCAGAAATGCGGGGGACGCTTGTCAGTGGGCTGAAACCCGTAAGCCTAAATTTGTGAAGGATGACACAGGGAACTTAAAGGCAGTGGCGGTCAGCACGGATGCTTCGGGACTGACATATGACTCGGTTAAGTACACCCTGGTGGTGGATGAGCATGCTAAGCTCGAGCTAGTGAGTATCAAGGACTGCTACAAAGGTTACGAAAGTGACAGTGACAATACCGTCTATGAGTCTGCCATCGATGAGGACGAGGAGGATCAGGAAGTGGACGAAGAGGAGGAAGAGTCGGGAGCGAGAAGCATGAGGAGAGACACTTCCTGTTTGTCTGCGGATTCCACCACAGACACCACCTCAGACATGCCCCGTTCCCGCAAGTTCATGAACGTCTTTGTGAATGGACGGTCACGTTTCTCTGGTGGGTAATAGAAGCTGATTTGGAATTTAGAAAATAATTCATTTGAATTTATTTTTTAAAAATAAAATAATTTTCTTAACATAGGGGTTGTTGCAAATGTGTACAGATCTTAAATATTGTAAGTACTCTAAAATTCGTTTAGCCATTTCTTGTGGCTGCTTCGGCTACCTTTGATCATGAAACACTTCCACTGTCCACAATGCCAAGTTTATGAGTTTATTTTTGGCTTCTGGTATGTTACAATAATATGCAGTGGATACACCAAGTGAAGGCAAGAGCGGTGTGAGAAAGGCTCAGAAAGAATGGCAACGGGCCAAGGGTTGAACCTTGTGGCACCCCTTCAGGAATACTTCTGCCAAGACTTTGCAAGAACAACAGGTTTTCTTCATTTATGGGTTTGCTAATATCAGACCCGTCTTTCACCAGCCAGGATCAAGATGATGAAATTCAGCCAGCAGTTCCTACCGAAATGTCTCTATCCTTTGTTGTTCTTGTTGTGACAATGAACGTTTGTTCTCCCACTCAGCTGCTGAGTTTGGATTCTTCTCCTGTGTTATTAATGGAGAGGAAAGAGAACAGAGCCACAGAGCAGTGTTCAGGTAAGAATTCAATCAAATTCTTGATGCACCGTTTAAAAAAAACAAGAAAGTAACCATGTGACTTAAAATGGATATTGAAACATATCCTGGCCAAGAAATTTTTAGGAAGAATTTTGTTTTTTTAAATTAAGCCTATTTTTGGGACCATTATTATTATTTATTTTTCTGCTTTTTTATTTATTTATTTATTTTTAACTTTTTTTGACAGTTATGCAAAGAGCATAACTGTAATACTGCATTTGTTTATTATTATTGTTGCTATTATTATTAATATATATTTTTAAATGTGCTAAATTGTCATGAAAATAATGTCATAAT